AGTCTAGCGTTTGTTTTGCTGTTGAGGTTGGGCGGTGTTGAAACGGTAGGGGAGTTGCCGGTGTCTCTTCGAAGGTGGTTTGAGGTACACCCTGGGCATTTGGACTCTTTGTTGGGAGTTTATGGTTGGTCGAGGTGTGGAGACGCGATTTTGACTTGTCTTAAGATACGTTTTGAACAGGGCCGGTGGCCCCTGGACTTCGGTGCTCTCGAGGTTTTCCTTGGTTTGTTAGAAGCGTTGTGGTTTTCTTTGTTCGGTGAGCTGGTTCGTCAAAAACATTTCAGCTTGGATTTGATAGCCGCCGTCGTTGTTCTGTCCAAACGTCTACATGGTTACGGTTGCACGGTCTTGAACTTCTTTGAGACTTGGAACTTGTTCACACAACAGGTTGTTTTTACACTCGTCCGACTGTTGCGCATCATCGTTCTGAAGACGCTAGGACCTTTTTCGTATTCTTCAAGAGTAGTTTTGTTTGGCGCTTTCTTTTTGACACTGCTTTCTATTCTTAGATTTTTATGCCCGTGCGTGTATACACGTGTCTGGCAAAGGAGCGCCGCCGGCCCCTTTATTGGTAAATTTCCACGACGAAGCAGCTCGTTTGTGGACAAAAATTTTACAACCGTTTTCACGACACAAGATCTCCCGAGTACTGTAAATACAGTGTAAAACCTCATGAAATTGAATCTTATTGTAATTCCGATGTTTTCCTGGGTACTGATCAGGCAAACAGGTAAAACACTCCAGTCTTCGAGGTTCCGACTATGTTTCACTCCAATACAAAAACTCACTCGACCACACGCGCGGTTTTCACCGCGCCGGGAAGGCGTTGTCTCAAGTTCTGTGGAATGACTGTGAGCCACGCTGAACCTCTGCGTTGCAAGATGTTGTCAGCCATCTCTTCACCTGCAAAGGCATAGCATTCTTCTGCGATGCGCTCTAGCCCAAGCAATTGCCCAAAGAGTTCTAGGCTGTGACCTTACCGTCAACCTTGTCTTGTTGTCGTAACCATTTTTCAGGCTTGAAAGTCTGCTGCGTCCTCAGCAGCTCTGTTCCCGCAAGGTATCTCACTGGCCTCACCTGCAAGTGTTTGAAGGCCAGCAAGGCCCAAGCTCATAAGCTGAACTACCTCACGTCTTTGGCTTCTATAGCAATCTCAGAACATCTTCGACAGCGTCCTTCAGCCTATAGGAGCACCAACCTCTCTTCAAATTCAATGCGCTCACGGCTCTCTTTTTTGGGTTTTCGACAAGAACTCTGCCAAGCCGCGCTGACTTTCTTGCAAGATCTTGCAAGAAGGTTTCCTTCTCTGACAAACCCACTCGGGCAGCTAGCCGATCTGAGCTTCTTCACTCTGGTGAAGCGATCCCGCCTCCTCGAAGCCACCTCTTTTATTTTTTTGCCGTTGCCTTGAGCTTCTTGAAAGTTTCATTGCAAAGTAAAACCGTTCTGACAGCAATCCGCCCTCCAACGTGGATCTCGCTCGGATCGAATGCAGCGCTTCTTCTTGGCCTACCGCTTGTTTTAAACCAGCCTCACCTTGTCTGCCGCTGTCACCTTAGGTGTAACTGCGCTGCTTGAAACTGCGCGCGCATTGAAATCACCATCGCCTGCCCTCCCCTTCAATCAACATGTCAAGTCTGTCCAGCACTCCAGCCTCGTCAGCTTCAGCCTGTGTGTTGGAGGCTGCTGTCACATACGCCGCTGCTTCTTGTGGGCCTCTTCCCTGAGCATCGCTTTTTGATTAGAATCAATCTGCGAAAGTGTAAATCAATCAAGAAAATATGGCCTTTTCATGGTCAAGTTTTTGAGTAACATATTGTTTTCGTTTTTTGAGCTGTCTATTGATTTTAACTTTGATGTTCTGATTGACTTGTTTGTGTAGTCTTGCTCAAGGATTTTGCAACATACATAGAAGGTTCAAAGATACAGAATAATTGTTTTGGCTTTGGGGAAGGCCACAGGTCATGGCCAACAAAGCAGAACAAAAAGATGGCTTTGGAAAGGCGATGGCAGAGGAGGAGCCAGACACTTTGCAAAACCCTATGTTGACAGTGGTTTGGTCTACAAGGTGCTGAGTGAACAGCAAGAGACCTTGCGTAACTTGGGCCCTTATGAGCATTGCAGCAGGGCAAATGCACCTGATCCAAAAGGGCTGGTCAAGACCTTGCCACTATGGAAGGGGCTTCTGAGGCTGGAAAGCTCAGGAGCAATACATGCCCAACCAATGCGCGCATTTTTGGCCTTGATAGGCGTATTGGCTGATGCACCAGAGTTGAATAGTACAAAGTGCTCAGGACATGGGTCAACTTGAAGCTGGAGAGGATCAACACCATCCTGTACCACATCAGGAAGCTGGGGAGGGAAAGCTTGACAGCAGCTGCAGCAAATTTGACAAGGGATGAGTACACAGAGCTGCAGCAGGGTCTGAAGCTGTTGGATTGTGGTGCTTTGGAAAAAGCAGAAAAGAAGACAAAAAGACACCAGCAGAAGAGTGTACTGCCTTGTTGACTTTTGAAGGGCGTTTGGGTGAAAAGACAGCCTCAAGCCAAGGGTTCACCAGAATGTTTGGGGAAAGCCCAGCAAAGGCATCTCCAAATCCCAGCCATGAGCCACCTGCTGCGCGAGGAGAAGGGCTGGTCCAAGGCAACACCTTTGGAAAAGGGTGAGCGGCATGAGGCCCTGGGGTTTGGTGCCATGAAGAAGCCTGCAGCTGCTTTAGGAAAGGCAAAGAAAGAAGATGGCAAGCCTGCTTCGGAAAAGGTAAAGAAACTCATATTGAAGAACAAGAAGGCAACATCTTGATTGGAAAAGGAAGTGAGAAAGCCTTAGGCCTTGGCTGAAGATTAGAAAAACCCTTGCAGAGAGGCCGCCAAGAGCTTATTTGACAGGGACAGCAGAGAAAGATGGAAAACTAAGGCTGATTGTTGAAGTGACTGCAAAGAGGTGCCTGCACTTCAGCAAGGTCATCGATGAAATTTGGACGTCTTTGGAAGAGGATAGTTTGACAAAGGCAGAAGCCCTAGCTTTGAAAGAAAGGCAGTGCAAGGAAAGGGGGCGCTAGGCCACTAGCATCTGCTTTGGAAAAGGCTCCTAGCATGGCAAATCCTAAAAAGGGATAAGCCGAATATGCTTGAAGTGGTTTGATGAGAAAACTATGTGCGAGTGTGTGGTAAGGGGTCATTGTGAAAGTGGGTCAACAAAGAACAATAGAGTTTTGTTTGCCTACGATAAAACTTTTGAACAACTAATTTCCAGTTACTGTATACGTTTTCTGCATATCTGGTTTCAATGTAATTTGATACTATGATAACTATATGTCCTAATGTGACTATATATTCAATGTATATATATATATACACAGCGCTTGTGGAGAAGTTGACTTGTACTTGTGAAGGTCTTTCACATGTGGGCATGACCTGAAGCCCTTTTGTTGCGCTCAAGAGAAAAGGGGCGCGGGAACTTTTTGACCTAGTTTGGTCGCCTCGTGGGTTATGAGCCCAAAGAAACGCTGCTAGCCATGAGCTGGACATCCTCCATGGAATCGGCGAGCTCAGGAAAAAGGAGGGTGGTGGAAGTCAACCCTTTTTGGTCGGACAGGATCAAAGGGGAAGCCATCCTGAAGAGCCTTCGACCGAGGTCCTTGCCCCCTACTATGGAGCGGGGAAGAGGGTGGGAAAGCCGTGGATTGCCGATGGTGGCGTTGAAAGCGGGGCCTGAGGAAGATGAAGCTCAGGAAAATCGGCCCCGTGGAGTGATGAACACGGAGAACGTCGTGGCCATGGTGTTGCAGCAGAATTCGGAGCTGCAAAAGGAGGTTGTTGCTCTACGCCAAGGTCAGGCAGTGTTCGAGAGGAAGTCGAATGACGCAGTTGGCGTCGGTCAGCTGACCTATGGCGCAACCCTCTGCAGCGGGATTGGCTTTGGTGCGGCACCGATTTCAACGGGTGTCAGCCTTGAAGGATTGGTCGGTGTACTAATGAATGGCTCAGGACAGCTGAGCGGTGTATGGAATGGCCCTGGTCAAGTGGGCGGTGGAGCGGCGATGTTGCTGGATGCTGGTGGCAATCAGTGCAGTGTGGGGAACTTGTGGGGGACAGTCCCTGGAGGGGCCGGTACAGCTACCGTGGAAAAAGGTGCGGTGAGCCAAGGGGCTTTTGGGACAGCCACAAGCGTTCTTTCCTCCCGGAGATGGAGGGTCTGGTGCTGAGAGGCCACAGAGGAAGGTGAAAGCCCTGCAGGACAGAGCGGCTGCTTATGGGGAGCAGCTGGATGGTGAAGTTGGTGGACCTGGTCATGATGGTGATCGGGGAGCCGTGGAAATGAGGACTCGGCGGCTGCCGGCTTCGGCCCTGGCAGCCCTGGTGGCCCTGGAGGCCCAAGCGGCCCTGGCGGTGGCGGACCTGGCGGGGGACCAGGTGGCTTTGGTGTTGGTGGTCCATGCATGGGACCATGTGGCGGCTGGCCATGGATGGGGCATGGTGATGAAAACATAAGGACTGTCACCTTGCCGGACTTGAAGGAGGGCGAGATTGGCCCGTTGGCTGCAGGGGATTGGATCACGTTGATCACTTCTCTGATGAAGGATTTGTCGGCGACTTCAAGCGCCTGGTGGGAAGTGGTCTTGACTGAGGCGGTCGGTTGCTATGATCGCTGGTTGAGGTCGGATCCAATGACAAAGCTGAACTTGATGCCTCGGTTGCCGGTGGCATGTCAGCAGCAGCCTTGGTTGAGGCTGGAACAAAGGGCACAAGCTATGTTGATGGAGGCTTTGCCTGAAAGCCTGAAGATGGAAATCCTCACTACGAGGGCTACAAGCTCGGTGCGGGTGATCTTCAAGGTCTTGGTGCGCTGCCAGCCTGGTGGGCTGGGTGAACGGGCACACCTGTTGAAACAGTTGGTGGAAGTGCGGGTGCCTATATCGGTTGGTGAGATGGTCACGCAGCTGCAGATGTGGCGCCGATGGCTTCGCAAAGCTCAAGAGCTCAGGGTGAACGTCCCTGATGGACAAGCTGTCCCAGCCTCTTGGAAAAGTGGCCACTCAATCGGCCTTCCGGCTCAGTGCGATCCGAGCCAATTTGATGGTGGATGTCAATCCAACGCTGGAGGGAGTGATCGGCGCGCTCCTTGCGGAGGGTGAGACGGCATTCCACAGTGGTGTGGAGAAAAATGGTGGTCCGAGGATCAAGGCTTTAGCCCCGGGTGTAAGCTCTGGTGGTGTAGCTGGGGGCGCCAATGGAGTGGTGAACGGCCGTGGTGATGGACCTGGACCTGCAAAGAAGGAGTGGACTCGAAAGAAGGAGGCCACTGATGATGGAAAAGGTCAGGCATCCTCTAAGGGGATTTGCCGCTACTTCCAGTCCGAGGATGGCTGCTGGCGTGGGGCTTCCTGCCACTTCGTCCACGACCTGGAGGGGAAAAAGGGACGGCGCTGGAACTGTGGATCTTCCAAGCACATGAAGAAGGATTGCAAGGTGCAGTCAGTGGAAAAAGATGGGGGTCCGCTGAAGTTGGATGGTAAGCCTGAGGCGCCGTCGGCCACCAAGTCCAAGCCAGCGGATGGGCCAGTGTTGGAGGAGAAGCCGGCGGAGGGTGCTAAGGACTGTGGAAAGCCGGAAGGAAAGGGCGAGGTCGGTGGGATCTTGTCTGAGGCTATGGGCCTGCTCAAGACCTTGCAGCTGCCAGCAATTAAGGCTTTGCAGCTGGAGGAGAAGGATGATGATGTGAAGATCTCATCTTTTGAGGTGAAAGAAAAGAAGGGTGAGGATGGTAAGGCCTCGACCTGTGAAAAGAAGGGTGAGGATGTCAAGGCCTCGACCTGTGTGAGGGGTGAGGATGTGAAGATCTCATCTCTTGAAGTGAAAGAAGAAAAGGTTGGGGATGGTAAGGGTGAAGATGTCAAGATCTCAGCCCTTGGAGTACGAGATCGTCGAGCTCTTCTTGACGGTGGGGCGACTCACTGCTTGAGACAAGCAGCCGTCGAGGCTGAATGGAAGTCAGGTCGAAGTGGCCCTTGCTTCAGGGACTGCTATGCTCAGGCAGATTCCTTGGACGAAGACCCTTGTGACCCAGCAGCCTGTGCAGCCGATTGTGCCGCTTGGTGTCTTGGCGGAGTTGGGCCACGCCATCAAGTGGGAGTCAAGGAGCTTCGAGCTTCAGGATTCAAAGGGGAGGATCCTGGACACCGACCTGGAGAACAGCTGTCCAACGGTGTCGGAAAATCTGGGACTCCAGCTCATCAAGGAGATTGAGAAGCAGGTGATGCTTCAAAAGGCCAGGTTGGCCGTGCTGCGGGGCGGTGAGGGCCTTGGAATAGCAGCGATGTCAAAGACCACGGTGGAGTGGTTGCAAAGGCTCCGAAAGCTCTTCCCGGAGGTGCCGGCGGAGCTGCTGGAGAGGGTGCTGCCGGATGATCAGTTTGATCCGGAGCTGCTGCCGTGGAATCGGCATGTGAGAAGGCGGCTGAAGAAGGCCGATGAGATCATTCTCCACTTGTTCAGTGGTCCGGATGAGAGGACCTGGAAGGAATTGGAGACCAAGATCGAAGAGTCCTATGTGTGGACATGGAGTTGCATAGGGGGCAGAATCTACTGGCCAAGCATGTGGCTGCCTACATCCTGCACGTCTGCCTCTCTGGAAAAGTGAAATGATTTTGGCGGGTCCGCCATGCAGAACGGTCTCAAGGCTCAGGCACACACAGCCAGGACCACCTGACAACGCGCTTTGGTGCCACCAGGTTCGGGCGAGATAACCTGTCGGACCAGCTGCGGTCTATGGTTGCGGATGACACGGTGGTGTTCCTGAGATCTTTGACCTACTATGTGGTCGCCGAGGAGAGCGCGATCGAAAGGCCAAAAAAGGGGTCAGCTGTGGATATGTGGTGGAAAGTCCACAAGACCCTGAGTCCTACGCTCCTGAGGAGGAGGATGAAAAGAAGTGTCCAAGCTTCTGGGCATTCCCTGAACGGAAGGCCTTCGCTGAGGCTTTTGGGATGATGCTGATCAGCTTCGATCAGGGGCCTATGGGCCATGAAAGGCGGAAGCCGACCAGTGTGGGTACAAATCTGGTGGCTTTGAAGCACCTGGGCGATCCTACGGTCTTGGCACCACCTTGGAGCAGCGGCTGAAAAACTCAAAAAATTGTGGGCGGAATGGGCACCAGGTCTGAAGAAGGCACTCCTGGCTGCGGTGGAAATGTTCCTCGAAGGTCGGCGAGCGGCAAGGCTCACCAGGGACCAATTGGAAGCTGATTTGAAGAATGACCACCAGCCCTTCCGAAAGGAATGTCGCGCCTGCCTTGAAACGGCTGGCAGGCAGCGGATGCACAAGCGGGTGACGCACCTGCATGCCTACACCTTGAGTTTTGACCTCGGTGGACCTTTTGAGGTTGGGAGGGATCAAGGTGGAAACTATGGTGGAAAAGCCCGCTATATGGTTGTGGGTGTCTACACTCTGCCGATCACGCCGGAAGGTGATGCTTTGCTCAAGCCTGCGAGCGGCAGGAGGCGGAGGGTGAGTTGTTGCCGGTTGAAGAGGCAGCGGATGGGGCTGGGGAAGACGCCAGAGAAGAGCGGCCAGCCGATGGAGATGATGCTGGGCGCTGGACGGAGCGCATCGAGCATGAAGAGGGCGTGAAGATTCGCCAGTTGACCTTCGTTGAGATGGTCGAAAGCCGGAGGGGGCCTCTGGTGTTACAGGCAGTAGCCAAGATCTACGCACGGCTACGATTCATGGGGTTGCCGGTTCTACGACTCCACTCGGACCGTGCATCAGAGCTGAGGTCACGCCAGATGGCGCAGTGGTGCATGCACAGGGACCTTTACAGGACCTTTACCGATGGAGATAGCTGGCAGATGAATGGGCGAGCAGAGGCTGAGGTTGGGACTATCTCCAGGCAGACCAAGACTTTGCTCAGTCGGGAGTGTCCACCGAGCTCTGGCCCTTGGCAGCGCGGCATGCTGCTGAAAGAAGGCTAAGGATTCAAATGGAGGCCATGAAGATGCCGGTGAAGGCATTGCTTCCTTTTGGGAGTTGGGGCTACGCCAGGGTGAAGTACTGGAATGAGCGGTCCACGGACTGGCGGAAGGCTCGCATGAAGGTCCAGATTTTGGGACCAGATGCCTCGATGACCGAGGGGGAGCAGGTGAAGGAGGGATGCCTTCAGGAAGCTCTATGGCCGCAGACGGTCACGGTGTCTGCTGCTGATGTTCGCCGAGAGTTGGGCGATTGGAAAGCGGCCATCACGGCCGAGTATGACTCGCTGCTCAGCACGGGCACGGTGCGGAAAGCAGGGAAGAATGAGGTCAAAGAGCTCGAGGAGAAGTGCCGTGAAGAGGGCAAGATCTTCGAGGTGGTGCCAGGAAAAGCTGTATGCACCAGAAAAAGTCCAGACGGACGGCATAAGGTCTGTGGAGTCATCTGTGAGGAGGTCTACATGCAGGAGCGTCCTGCTGAGGAGGTCTATGCCAGCGGCATTGATGTTGGGGCAGTCCGAAGCCTCATTCGGCATGCAGCCCTGGAGCGCTGGAGCCTGGTCACGGTCGATGTGAAAACGGCATTTTTGCAGGTTCCTCAAGAAGAGCGGAAGGATGTGACTGTTGTCAATCCGCCCAGGCTGTTTCAAGATGCTGGAGTCACTGCCGCGGGAGAGCAGTGGATTGTCCAAGGGACTTTGTATGGCACCATCACTGCGCCAAAAGAGTGGGGGGCCTATCGCGACCGCATGATGGCGGAGATGGTGTGGGGTGAGCAGGGCGAATGGCGCCTGGTGAAGCTCCCTGAGGCCAATGTTTGGGCCATCGAGAAGAAGGTCAAGGGGACTGGAGTGGTCCATGGCCACGTGGCGGTGTACGTTGATGACGTGATGGTGTCAGGCACCGATGCCACACTGGCAGCCTTCGTTGAAAAGTTCAGGTCCATGTGGACTTGCTCCGAGGCCGATTGGATCGAGGAGGGGAAAGTGACAAAGTTCTGTGGCCTCGATGTGGAGAAGGATGGCGGGGGCTTTCGGATACATCAAGAAAGCTACATCCGGTTCATGATGGCCAAACATGAGATCGAAGGGATCTCCAAACTGCCAAAGGTCGAGGTACCGACCGAAGATGAGGAGGAGCCAGAGCTAGCTTGCATCCGGCATGCCCAGGCGCTGACGGGTGAAGTCCTTTGGCTCAATCCGGATGTTCATGACCGGATTGTGAAGGCTGCTGGCCTGATTGTGGCTCCAGGGTGTCGCTGACACGGAGGAGGCCAAGGGTGATGACGATGGCAGGAGTTTCTTGATCCTGATCGTGGTTTTGGTCCTCATAGCGGGCTACATCATTGGCGACGCCATCAAGCGGTATGGGCTTGCGGCTCTCCGGAGGATGTTGGGCACCGAGGACATTGTGAAGGTGAAACTGCTCCGTGAGGAAGCTTTGGTGCCAGCACGTGGTCGGCAGGATGGGACCTGCACGCAGTCGATGGCTTGACTGTGGATCCTGGGTGCAGTGCATTGGTGGGCACTGGACTGGCGATGGAGTTGCCAGTGGGCACCTATGGGTGCCTGACCTCAAGATCCATGGACCGCGACTTCAGGGGCGAGATCAAAGTGTTGGTCATGAACGGCTCTGACCAGCCATATGTCATCAACCCGGGAGACAGGGTTGCGCAGATGGTCATCGAAAAGGTCTACGAGGGTGAGCTCAAGACCGTCAAGGACCTGGGAGAGTCCTACCGTTCGGCTCCACTGGAGTGAGGTCACTTCGGCTGACAGGAGGTGGCGGACCGTCAAGTGCTCGGGGAGAGCGGGCCACCGACGTCAGGGGTGAGGCTGAGATCAAGGGAGAGGTCAAGAACCAGGACCTTTCCAAGAGAGGTGTCGCCAGACGAGGTGAACGTGACTTACCATGATGATGGTAGCACCTCGACACAGCGGGTGACTGGAGAGAAGGTGTACTTCAGGGCTCCCGCCATGCGCACCACTTCGGTGAGGCGGCCTCCGGCGACTACCAGTCAGGAGATGGTGGAAGTTGAGGTCGAGGAAGACCAGGAAGTGGAGGCCCAGCCGACTACTTCTGGTTTGGCTCGGGTGCGATGGCACGGCCGGGCATGGCGAGTGGAAGGAGCTCAGGTGTACCATGTGCGCCGTGACTGCTCAGCGATTCGGAACTCCAAGATGGTGATGGAGATCCAAAAGTGCTCCGCTTGCTGGGGCAGGAACGACATGGACACCACAGCTGAGATTGTGGTTGCTGATGGCACCGGGCATGGGCGAGACCTTCCCCATAAGGTCGAGGGCGGTCGCACGCTGCGGCCATGCGCCCGTTGCGGTTGAAGGGGCTTGAGCTGACAGAAGCTCGGAAAATGTGGGCGAGAGGCTCATGTGTTTTTGAGGTTAAGCCTCCCTCAAAAAGGGGGAGCGCTTGTGGAGAAGTTGACTTGTACTTGTGAAGGTCTTTCACATGTGGGCATGACCTGAAGCCCTTTTGTTGCGCTCAAGAGAAAAGGGGCGCGGGAACTTTTTGACCTAGTTTGGTCGCCTCGTGCACAGTATATGGTTTGTCAAGTGAACACTTTGGAAACGGTGTTCAAGAACATGCACGTTGTCCCCCTGCAGCTGTTTTCAGCTTAGGGCTAGGTTACAACGTGCATGGACGCACTACACACTCACAGCCAGTCAGGGCAACACACACACACAGCAAGTCACGGCAGCACTACTACAGCGCGCGCATTTATTGACAACTTCACACAGCGCTAGAGCCTAGTGTAGTTGTAGTTTGGGTTTGGAAAAGCCCAGGGTGACTGGTGGGAAGACACCACCGCACATTCAGAGGCTACTGGCTATTGTGGATGTGTCCATGAAGAAGAAAAAATCTGACGAAGGCGAAGCCAACAAGAGCTTGAAGCAGAAAATGGTGCCTGAAGAAGGCAAGGGCAAGAGACCAAAGCTCATCATAGCAGAGCCTGCAGAAGAAGAGGAGCCTCAGCCCACAGAAGTTTGGGATGTGGAAAGTCCTGTTGCAGGAACCGAAAATTCATCCATGGTGAGGCCTGAGGAGCTGATTGCAGCCTGTAGAAGGCTGGAAGTGAAAAAGAAGCCTGCAGCCAAAGAGCCAGACATCTTGAAGAAACCTGCAGCCAAAGAGCCAGTCATCTTAAAGAAGTTTGCAGCCAAGCCTGCAGAAGGCAAAGCAAAAGACACAGAGCCTGCAGATGGCATTGCAAAGGCAAAGCTTGGCAAAACCTGGGCCAAGTCTGTCTCTTTTGGGTGGGTGAAACAGACCAGGGCCATGCAGAAGGCCTACATCCAAGCCATGCCTGAAGAAGGCAAAAAGGTTTATTGCTTGGTCAATGTGGAGGTGGTTAGAGGGGAGCTCCAAACCAAAGTGATGGACAAGCTCAAGGCATGCAATGAAGCAAGCCTGGAGAAGGCAGCCTTGGTTGATTTCAAAAAAGCTATTCTGAAGCCTGCGCAAAATGTGGACTAGCAGCCTTGAGCCTGAAGAAGGCCTTTGGACTGGCAACCTTGAGCCTGAAGAAGGCTACAGGCCGACCTTGAACCTAAAAAGGCTTTTTTTGCAGGGTGTGGAAAAGGCTGCCAAGGGTGTTTTGGTGGGTGGGTTAGCCTGTAAAAGGTTATGGTTTGGGGGTTGAGGTGTGAGGTTTGTTTCTGGGTTTGGTGGTGTTTGGTGGTGTCTGGTTTTAACATGAAGAAGGTTGTAATGCTGTTTTTGGGCTCAAGCTAGGCAGAGCAAAGCAAACATGCATGCACATGCCCCTACACACTCACACACACACACACACTGACACACACTTAACTAACTACTAACTAAACCACACTGCGCTCACAACTGCAAAGCCCACAACTAAACACCAAACACTCACACAACTGGAGCTGACAACATATAGGCAGCACTCACAAACACAATCAACAAAAGTACGCCTGTGGCCAGGGTGGGAGGAGCTGACCACCAATGAAGTCAAGAGCCTGCAGAAGGCTATGGAGAAAGACCCTGCCATGGGACAATACATCCTTGGAGAAGATGATTAGTCCCACGAGGGGTTCCTGAGTGGAGTGGAAATAGGTGGTGGCCACCAGGGGTGGTGGACCACAGCCAAGAGCCTGAAGAAGGCTTCGCCACATCCATTTGCATGTGGAGTGATTCAGAAGACACTGGCCCAAACCGCGCCCCACAAACTGTGGGGTGGACTGAGTGGTCTCAGCCTGCAGAAGGCTCAAGCACTGGGGAAGGAGCAAAACAGGTTTGGGGAAGGCCAGTGGTCAAGCAAAAACAAAAAACTGAAGAAGGCTGGGAAGAGGTGGCCTAACAACCCCCAGGTTTGGGAAGACTGGGCTGAATGGCAAAGAGATGATGAGCCAGTAGATGGCGCAAGTGACCTGAGAAGGCTGGAAAAAAGGGCGCTTGAAAGAGAAGGCCTGCCTGTCCCTCAGTGGCTTCTGCCCCAGCCACCTCTGAAGGTCCTCGCCGAACAAAAAAAGCGGATGAGGGAGCTCATCCACAAGGCCAAGGCCATGCAAGAGGAAGCCCAAAGCCAGGCCTGAGTTTTGTAGGAAGCCTGGAATACCTCCTTCAGAGCCTTCAAACGCTCATGGGCCAAGGCCTTGGGTCAGGAGGGGATGCAGAAGGCTGTGCAATGGACGAGACAATGGATGCTGAGGAGGAGCCTGGAGAAGGAGCAACAAGAATAAGCGGAAGAAAAAGGACGATGACCAAGGCCAAGGCAATAAGCCTCTAGAAGAGCCTGGAGAAGGCAGTGGTGAGAAGAATGTGAAAAAAAGAAGCTGATCCCCAAACCTTGCCTGAAGAATGCAGCTCAATGCCTCCAGAAGGTGTTTTGATTGCTGAGGCACAGCCACCTCCACCATCAGGGGAAGATGTGGAAATGCCAGATTCCCATGCCTGCAGAAGGCACTGGGGCAAAGCCTGCAGAAGGAGGTGGGACTGGACAAGGCAAAACCTGAGAGGGCACAAGCCCCTCTGGATGGAATTTTTAAAAGAAAAATTATTAAAAAAATAAGATAAATAAGAAAATATATAATGTAAATATTTTTAATTTATAGATGGGCCTGGAGAAGGCAAAGGTGTGGCAGTCAGAACTGGGAACTGGTGGGGAGTAAGCAAAACTTGGTATCCTGGTGTTAAATGAATAGACAACTATAAATAAGAAAAATAGGTATAGACAACTATCCTGGTGTTTGATCCCATTGATTTGCCAACCCCTAAAATCAAGCAGATTGATTCTAATCAAAAAGCGATGCTCAGGGTTGCTCTGGTCCTTCCGGCCCTTGCCCTCAGCTCTCCATCCGGGTTGTGAGGACCGTTATTATGGACTTGTGCGAACGACGATGCCAGTCACAACCGTGAGCAATCCTTTGTCACATGTGTCGTTGCTGCGCCCACCGGCTGCCCTGGCTTACGTACAGCAAATCTTGACGCCAGCCTTGGATTTGAAGCAGAGCGCGTCCTTTATCAGGACTTCTTCTTTGGTGACAGTCTTCGAAATTCGGGCCTCACGGACGAGCTGGCGCTGCCTCCGCCGAGTTCATGGCGCAGAGCGTGGCCCCCCAGACCTCCGCAAGGGGTGGATGGCATGGCGGCCCCTCGCCTCCTCCGGCTGGACGGAGATAATTCTGAGGCATAGCGATCAAGCCCTGAACTAGGCTCCGTGTGGAACCATACTGAGGGCCTGCCCACTCTGGATCTTGTGGCGCAGACACGTCAATTGAGCGTCAACGGGTTATCTCCTTTGCTTGTGACAAAATTTGCTCTCATCTTCTGCAAGGTTGCGGAGGACAAAATCTCAATTCAGAATCGCAATCCTGATCAAAAGTTTGATTCATCCTCAACTTGAGTTTCACACTGCTGCCACGTGTATGCTCTGCGCTGCGCCCAACAACCCCACGCGTTGCAAACATTTGACATGCCACCATACTGAACACGAGCTGCAATCAAACTCCACCGGGCCTTTTCCACTTCAGGTGCGATCTTCTGGCCTCACCCAAAGCCTGTTCAAGCGACTCTGTCGGAGTGAAATGGTGACGCATCTCAGACCCAGCTCTAGCCCGCCCATAGTGGCATCCTGGATGCTGTTCCATCCGTGCATGGCCGTCCATGTCTATCCCCCCACCCTTGAGGGTCAGACAAAAGGAGCCAAAATGGATGGCCAAGTCACACACGCGCACACCGTTTATGGTTCCCGCTAGCATTTTGCCATCCACGACACTTTCTCAGGCAGCATGGAATCACGTCACGGTAACATGTCCTGAAACATCTCCTTCGAAGCTGAGAACCATTGGAAAAAATTTGGGAGCCTCATGGAGCTGGGGTTCTTCATAAAAGAAAGCAAGCACTGCGGAAGAGGCTTCGCCTTCAGAGCGTGGCATCGCGCGAGTGGCTCCGCGCCAAAACAAACCCGCTTTCGAAAAACACAAAAAACGATGCGAATCGAAACCGATCGATCGACCGTGGCCGAGCGGCGAAAGGACGCTTCAGGATTCTGCAAATTGCTTTCAATCAGAATCTCTTCAGGGTTCTTGAAGCGGATCACTGACTGCGTCTCATTCATACCGATTACGATGTCAATAAACTTTCCATGGTCTGGCAATGTCTGCGAAGCTGGTGTTGATGAGTTTCTTCTCGCGCCAGGCGTCTCTGATGGTGCCACATGGTCAATCGGAAAGTCAGGAGGCATCTGCGAAGCTGGTGTTGATGAGTTTCTTCTCGCGCCAGGCGTCTCTGATGGTGCCACATGGTCAATCGGAAAGTCAGGAGGCATCTGCGAAGCTGGTGTTGATGAGCTCGGCTCAGTGAAAGCATGAGAAGTCCTGGTTCTTCTTTGATTGTCCGTGTGTTTGGATCCCTGTGTTGTCTTGGGTGAATACAAAGTTCTTGTCTTCTGATTGCCATCAGCTTTCCACTCCACCTTCAAGCGAATTCGTCACTCGCCAATGGAAAACTACTTTTTCCATATCTTTCCATTTCTCTAGCAAGAAGCTATTAGTAACAAAGGGCATTGCTACTAGGAGCAAGGACCCTACTAGTAGCTCCTGGCCTCACTAACA